TATTCTTAATTTAAATTTATTTTCTATTTTTTAGTTTGGTTTTCTATAAAAAGCGTGTTTTTAGTTTTTTTAAACTATTATTTTATAATTAAAAGATTAAAAAAAATTTAGTAACGGGTATATCTTTATCGTAAATTGGGTTTGATATTTTTTCAGTGATAGTTATTTATGATTTAAATAATTGAGAGAGTAAGGAAAATTTTGTGACGAGCATATTATTTTTAAAGGAATTTTTATAGTTTAATTTGATATCGTCAGAAAGGTCGAGACAAGAATTAGTGCCTTTTGGTTTTATATATTTTTTAGTAGTCAATTTTTTATGTCAAGTTTTTGGAGGAATTTTTAATAGTCTTTTGGTTCTATAAATTTGCTCGGTCACATTTGTCCATTAAATGATTTATAATTGATCCAGTGATAGTAATATTATTTTTAAAATTTATTTAAAAAGTATCCAAACTATGGACAGTGTGATAAATATAAAAAAATCATCAAGGCAAAATTTTCTTATTTATAATTCTGTAAATCTCTGCAGTCACATAGTGACTGCAGATTGCTAGTATTATTTTATTAATATAATAAATTATTTATATTTCCAGCCATTTATTAGTTACCGATAGCCATCTTATAGTCCTAAGAGAGATCCAAGAACGCAGAGATGCAGCGCATGTCATTGTTAAACGTCCACTGTCAAATATAGTTAGGATAACATCGCGTAAACATCATCCAGATTTAATAACATTTAAATACGGTACTACACAGAGTGATATGCTAGTTATTTCGGATATGGACAGACTTCTTATTCCCAACGGAGGTGAAGCTGTTAAATTAATTTCGCAACAAATTCTGAAGGAATTGAAGAGTTCCAAATAACGTGAGTGATTAAATGTATACATGTATCAATGACACATGTATATGTTCACCTCAATCGAATGCTAAATATTAAAAAGTAAAAAGTAAATGATTTAATTTCAATGGAAGATTTATTGCTATTAAATAATTACATTGAAGAATTATTTATTTTATTTAGTACTTATTTTGAGTAATGATGAGTTAAAGTAATTTATACGTCCATTATTTATGACAAAGTGCCATTATTGTGTATGTGCATTCCTTTTTACATAAATATCAAAGAAAAAAAACGTCTTCAAGACAAGTTAGTTAAAAAATTATGTTTGTCATTTAATTATTGTTTAAATATTTTAAAAGTTAGTTATTATTTTACTGTTATTGGCTATTTAATAGCTTCTGCCTAATTGATAAGCAATGTGAATACGTAATTATATTAATTAAAAAAAAAAAAAAAAATAATTATTGATGGTGTACAATTTATTATATCTTTAAAATTTGCAAAATTGCAAGTTTAATAAATCAAACTTTTTATCAACAAAAACAAATTTTAAATTATTCAATAAATAAAATTTAAAACGTTATGACTGGATAAATTTATACACTATATAAAACTTAAAAATTTTAATTATTTATAAAGTCTTATGGAGTAGAGCAGTTATGATAAAATAATTTTTTATAAAATGTAAAATATTGAAATTTTTAATAAAGATATAAAATTATTTATTACCGATCTTTTACATAATTACGATCGGTTTTTAATCAGTACAATTAAATAAATTTATTAAAATATATAACTGATTTAAAATAATGTACATAGTATTTATAGTTGTAAAAATAAATATTAATATTAAATACTTGTGATTTATTATTTATTTATTTATAATTTTAATCTAAGATATTTTACTATTTTAAAATTTATTTTTGAACGAGAAGCTGTGATTGATTATTTATTTAAAGGCGCGGCCAATCAGAAGCGAATTTTGTCTTAAAAACAGTAGTGGGGGAATTAACTGGATCAGTCTTTCAATAGCTTTCATATAGTGCACATCTGCGGGTAGCAAAATTTATTTTACTCTTAATATTAATCCTAAATTTATACAGACAAATAAAATTTTTAATGAATTTTTAAGTGAAGAAGAATAAAAATAAAAAAATGTTTATATAATTTTTATGTTATAAAGTGTAAAGTTAAAAAAATAATTGCAATTTATTTATCTTATCAGATTAAAATGATTAGTCATCAAAAAATGTGTACGCTTACCAGAAACTGATAAATTATAATAATATATATATGGACTTATATTTATTGAAAATAAATTTTGATAATTTATGTCAGCTGTCTGGAATAAAAAAATATTTGATAGTACTTTTTTACATACTTACATACTTGATACTATTTTTTTAATTAATAATAATAAATTGAGGTTACAGTGAAATTATTTTATTTTTAATATTTTATGAAAATTAATTCAACAGATATTTATTTAATTTTAAAAATTTTTATAACAAATAAATTATGGCAAGAAAAAAATTAAAAATGTAATTTTTATAAAAAAATTTTTCAAGTGACTGCTAATTTTAATGTCATCAGTTAAATTAAAAATAAATAAAAAAAACGGAAAGTGAATTTTTAAAAGAACGAGACTTGCGTAGTGAGTTTATATTTCATTCCAATGGTAGATAACACAACAATAAAAAGTATGTCTGAGATTAATTGTCGTGATTGTTTTTTTCATTAACGTTTAAACGTCAATGTGTTTTGAACTATTGAATATGAATGTTGATAGTAATTTAAACAGCTCAAAACTCTACAGCAATAAATATCACAATTTACACAAAAAATGTCTATTAATTGGGGAGAATTATTTCCTGGAAGATGGAGCGGAATTATATTTGTCTCTTACATGGCACTATTTATCAATCAAGGTAAATTATTTTTATAAGTTATTAATCAAATACTGAGCTATTTATTTGTTATTTTATTTTTTTCTGTCATTAAATATAAAAAAAATAAATTTCATGATTAGATTATTGAAGTGTCAAAAAGAGAGGTTATATTTTTGTTTGGGTTACCTCGCAGTTAAATGTAAATTCTTAATGCCGTAAAGTTTCAATGTTATATAACAATAATTAATTAATTAACTCGTTTTTTTTTTTTTTTTTTTTTACAGGAATTATAGTCACGTGGTCACAAAATGGAGGCGATTACAAATACAATTTTGTAACTGTTGTACTGTTAACTGAAATTGTTAAATTAATAGTATCTATTATTTTTTATTGTCGTGAGTAAGTTTAAATTTTTATTATTTATTATTATTGTTAGTTTAATTGTTTAAAAATTTTATAAGCTAGTTTATTTATGATACTAAAATTAACAATGAAAATTAAATTATCCAACATCTAAAAATTTTTATAATACTGAAGTTAGCGAAGGTTTTTAATTTTTTGATTTTTTTTTCATTTATTAAACTAAAACTAAAAAGTGTTTTTTAAAAATTGCACTTATAGTTTTTCAAGTATTTTACAAATTCTATGAAATATATTGTTTTCTAGATCTATTAAAATAATTGAAATAAATTGTTATTGTCTCGACAAAAAGTTAAAAATATTTCCATTCACAAGATTACATCTCCATAAATTAAAATTGTTTAAGTCTAATAGAGATAACTCTTGCGTAATTCAAGAATTTGCATCAACATACAAGTAATGCGCAGAGAAATAATCAGCAGACGATGATAAAATTTGAATATATGGACATTTTATTGGATTTTATTCAAACTAAATATAGAACATGTTTTTTTATTTAAGAGATTATTTAAGTATTTAATCGAATAAAATTGCAGACGCTTACTTGTAACCGCAAAATTGTCCTCCAATAAAGTATTTTTATATAAATAATATTTATAAATTGATAATTTTAATTAAATTTAAATTTAAATATTTGTTCTTAATTCTGTAAAATAATTTAACACTTCAAAAAACTACCAAATGTCAATTTAAAAATTTTTATAACTCAAAAAACAATTTTTCTATTGTATATAATCATCTAAACTAATCAAAATTTTTTCTAAAAACTTAAAAAATTAAAATATCTAACAGGAAATATTTTCAAATTACTTTTGCCGTTAGTTAAGTATTTATCGTATCAGATAATAAATAAAAATATCTTGATATCTAATAGTGCATCGTTAATCACTTATGATACTCATACATGTAAATATAATTATAACTACTAATATTTATTTACATAACACTTTTCTTACACAACATAATCTAACCGGAGATTACATCCTTATCATTCCAAATAAAAATATTTTTTTTTCAACAATATTGACGTACAAGAACAATAATAATAACTGAAAAAAATATTACTATAAATCAAGTAATCCATCCATAATTAAAAACAAAAAAAAAATTTTTAACATTATCATTTTTAAAATTTGTATTTCGTACTTCTTCGCATTTGGTATTTCGACATACATAGCAGAGCTTAGTGTCATCCAATCAATATTATTTTTCTGCTGTATCTACGATAAGATGGGGTAAATTTTTATTGCTATTAATAACTACTTGTTATATAAATATGCTCAATAACTTTAGCGTACGCAGTCGTGCTATAACTTCAGTCGACATCGTGCGCGATGATAAAATCAAGCCCCACAATGGAGTACTTGAGTTTTGACCCAAAAACAAAACAATTAACGCTTGAAACATGTGTCATTCCAAAAGCCAAGGGCGAGGAAATTTTAATAAAAGTCGCTTATTCCGGAATCTGCGGAACTGATCTTCATATTTTGAATGTAAGTCACAAATATATGTAATATAATACATAAATATTTTAACTGTGTTTTAATTGCAGTAAGTAATCTAATTTAATTCAATTTGATTTTATTTTATTAGGGTTCATTTCCCGCGAAAACTGATGCTCCGTTCAGTCTTGGTCATGAATTTTCTGGGACTGTCGAAAGTGTGGGCAAGGAGGTCGTAGGATTTAAAGTTGGTCAGCGAGTAGCTGTGGACCCTAATAGTGGATGTAATAAATGTAATCATTGTCGAGATGGGCGATACCACTTCTGTGACAATGGCGGCATTAATAATACTATTGGGATTTTCCGAGACGGTGGATGGGCGACTCATGTACTTGTACCAGAAAGTCAGGTATTACTGTTAATGCCAATTAAGATAGCTGACATCTACTTAATTTTCATAATTTTTTTTATTGAAAAAATTATAATAAAATGAAAGAAAATTTCAATTGTAAAAAACTTGAAAAATTACAAGAGCTAACTTTAGTATTATAAATTAGAAGACTTGAAAAAAAAATTTTTTTTTTTTTTCAACTGAATTAGAGCTAGAAAAATATTAATGAAAATTAAATTAACCGACATCTGAAAATTTTTGTAATTTATTTTATTGAAAAATTCTTTAAAAAAAAATTAAAAAAAAAAATTTCACATGTAGAAAATTAAAAAAACTGTACGTGCAATTTTTTAAAAATTATTTTTCGTTCTAATTTAATTAATAAAAAAAAGTCAAAAACTTTTGAACGTCTGCTAATTTAAGCGTCGAAAATATTACATAAAAATTGCGGCTATTATTTTTAAAATTTTCTAAATTTTAAAATTCAAAATTTTAAAATTTTTTGTGATGAATTTTTTTATTAAAAAAAATTCAAAAAATTGTCAGATGTCTGCTAAAATTTTTTTTATAGTTTATTTTTTTTGTGAACTATCGTCCCGATTGGGCCACGTGCCAGCTATGATAGTCTATTATTATTATTATTATAACTAAATTTATTAATTTTTTTTTTCAGCAATAACGCATCGTTATTTTTCAATGAATTAATAAAATATCGGAAGATATTTCTTCTTTATATGGTGCCATCATTATTATATTGTTTTTACAATAATTTATCATTTGTAAATTTGGCAGCATTCGACCCAACGACTTATTATTTATTGCTTCAATTTCGAGTCGTTATAACTGGAATTATTTTTCAGGTGATTATATTTATTAAATGTAATTAAAAAAAAATCTAAATTGGAACAATCAACAAATAAGTCGGTTAAAAGCGTAATAATTTTCATTAAATTTACGACAGTCTATTACTTATCGTTATTGAGCCATTAGTAAATTACTTATCTATAAAGCTTTTTCTAATAAATGCAAAGTAAAATAGCTGTGAGTTAATTACAAAATAAAGTTTTTTAAATTTTAAATAAAAAATTATTTTTTATGACATTTATAATAACTATCAAAATGATTTCAAACTATTTCCGGGCAGTGAAAAAAAATTTCAGTAGATATAAGTTGGAATGATAATTTAATAAAACATTCATTTATGCCTAAAGATAATATAAAAGCATTATATATGATAATAGAAACAAGACTGACTTCATTAAAAATTTATGTATTAAAATTTTTATTTTAATAATAATAATAATAATAATGAAAATAATCATATAAGCTAAATCAACTAAGAAATAAAATTGAAAAATTTTTAATATTATTATCTATATTATTAAGAGAATAAGAAAAATTTTGTTTCCTGGATAGTCATATGATAAAATCGGATTTTTTAAATGAAATTTAGTGTCATTGCAAAGGTCTTGATTTGAATTTGTGTCTTTTCAAGGTTGCATTTTATTCCCACCGAAAGTCAATTTATTATAATAAGTATTTAAGCTGCATTTGAAAATGCTGTATCTCTAGATACATAATTAAGAAATTACCTTGTATCTTGTGAACTATTGACATTTTTATAGATATAAGCTCATCCCGATGTTACACTCATCGAGACCTTTCATTTGAGTATCCACATCAATTTTTCATATATTTATATATTTATATATATTATATATATATGTATATATGAAAAATATATCAAAATGCATGTGGGTACTCAAATGAAAGCTCTTGATGAGTGTAACATCGGGATGAGCTTATATCTTTAAAAATGTCAATAATTAAGAAATGATCTTGTATCTTGTCAACTAATGACATTTTTAAAGATATAAACTCATCCCGATGTTACACTCATCGAAATCTTTCATTCGAGTACCCACATCATTTTTTCATATATATATATATAACATTGAGATGAGCTTATATCTTTAAAAACGTCAATAGTTAAGAAAGTACAGTGCAATTTAACAAAAGTCATTATTTAATAAAGCAAAATTTTATTTATTTATAGTTCACAAGTCACGGCAGTCACATATAGTGACTGCAAGGTCGCTAGTTATTATTATAATTATTTTCAAAAATTAAAAAGTATAACAATAATAACAATTTATTTCAAATTTTCATTATTATTATTAATTAATTGATTTTTTTAGGTTGTATTTAAAAGACAACTATCATCAAAGCAATGGTTATCATTAGTGATTTTAACATTAGGATGTATGATAAAGCATCTTGACTTCAATGTAACGAGCAATAACTTGTTATCAAATTTTCCATTAAATATAAATTTATTTTATATTTTTATACAGGTAAGCTCAATATCCACACATAAAAGAAGATAATATAAATAATTATTAAAAAAAAAATTTCTTTTTTATTTCAGACAATTTGTTCCTGTTTAGCAGGAGTGTACAATGAATATTTATTGAAAGGCCAAGGGGCGGACATAGACATTTTTTTACAAAATATATTTATGTACATCGACAGTAGTTTTTGTAATGTATTTTTATTATTAGTAGAAGGTAACTTGCCGAAAGTATTCGATGACATAGGCCCTAGTATATTATTTCAACCAAAGGTTCTACTGATAATAATCAACAACGCTGCAATTGGAATAATAACTTCATTTTTTCTAAAAAATTTAAATTCTATTCTTAAAACTTTTGCTAGTGCATTAGAACTTGTCTTCACAGCAATATTATGCTGGATGATATTTGGTATTCCTATTTATATTAACACGGTACTTGCTATAGCTATGGTAAGCTATGCAGTAATTTTATACTCACAAAATCCAGTGCAAAATGTCACACCAAAATCTGTTAAAGATGACAAAGAAGAACTCGAAGGATTAATTGTTTAATTTATTTTTTAGTAAAAATATTTTATTTTTTTATAATTATTCTTAATAATCGAAAGTATTAATCATAAAAAAACGGAATTTTGCAATAGTGTTTTAGCCAATTATTATTTTAATTCTTTTAGTAACCGGGGGTACATAAATACTTGATAATTTTTTTATAATTAAAAAAAATTTTTCTTAAAGTTTTTGGATTTTCTTATCAAGGATTTTTTCAACTTCTTGTCGTTCCATCCTCTGATCTTCCAGATAACTTTTTTTTTTTTTTAAGATTCTTCTCTTGTCCCGAACAATCAATTATTATAATAAATATTTTTATATTTTAATTCATTTAGAAAATTACAATAAAATAAATCGACTCAAATTTTTATATACATCAGAGATTTTTAAAATTAATTTTAATCTAAAAGTCAATAGTAGTTTAATTATACTTTACTCATAAATTTACTTTATTAAGAGAATAAGAAAAATTTTGTCTACAGGATAGTCACAAAATAAAATCAGTTTTTTTAGTCAATTTATTGTGATAAGTATTTAGGCTGCATTCGAAAATGCTCTATCTCTAGAGACATAATTAAGAAATGACCTTGTATTATTGTAAAATATTAACATTTTTAAAGATATAAGCTCATCCCGAGGTTACATTCGTCGAGACTTTTCATTTGAGTACCTACATCAATTTTTCATATATTTTATATATTTATATATATCATATATGTATGTATGAAAAATATATCAAAAATGCATGTGGGTACTCAAACGAAAGCTCTTGATGAGTGTAACATCGGGATGAGCTTATATTTTTATAAATGTCAATAGTTAAGAAATGACCTTGTTTCTTGTCAACTAATGACATTTTTAAGGAGATAAGCTCACCCTGACATTACATTCATCGAGACCTTTCATTTGAGTACCCACATCAATTTTTCATATATTTCATATATTTTTATATATTATATATTTGTATATATGAAAAATATATCAAAAT